ACTTGGGGTTCTGTAAAACCTTGTATTGTTTTGTTCTGGCCTGTAGCAATGAATTGGTTGCTAAACTTTAAACAAATTCCCCTCTCTTCTTAACATAGAGGTGACCTAATAAACCAAGATGCTTCATTGAAAGTCAGACAGGAATGTTCCCTAAGCTCTTGTTAGATGTGTATCAGTGTGTAACCTCCGTTATATTTGGCTGTGGCTTTGTTGAATTGTGCACTTCCGAATTTAAGCTTAAAAATGACAAAAATGTCTAATGATCTGAATGAATTCTCACTAAAGTAACATTGCACAGGAAATTTATTTGAATTCACACAGTTACTTCTAAAGAATTAAAGACTTTTAATGTTTGAAGAATTAAAGCAGTAGTATCCCATTAAAACACACTGATGTATAGAAAATCTGTGGTAGCAGTTCTCAGGGTTTAAGGGTTTGGTGATAACAGCATAGAGAAAATAGTCCATTGTTTAAATCTTCTCAGCTTTTGTCAAAAAGATTGTATGGTAGGAGTGTGTTGTTTTAGTAACTAAAATACTGTGCAATGACAACATAATAGCATATCCATGACAGTGGGGGTTGCTTCATTCAACTTTTTTGTTGTTGTCTGACACCCATTGTATTAGTAAGTGTGATGTCTAATTCATCAAATAAACTGAAGTCCACTTGTACCACTTATTGGAAAAATAAAATGACTGCTATATGACTTAAACTTGGCATTAGGGTAGTTGAGCCAGACCATTGTTTTGTATTTATTTATTTTCTTCCATTTTGGTTGAAATAAAAGGACAACTCACATTCCCAGTTTGTTTTGTAAGACTATGTCTAAATGATAAGCTACTTGCCATGTCTGTTGATGTAATGTTTCATATCAAGTGTTTGTCTGCTCTTTGTTCATATTTATTTAACACAGTTTGCACATATTGATTCCATGTGAACCAAACACTAATCCAATCATGAACAAATGACTTTATCCAGTAAGTGTTAATCTTTTGTGAAAAGCTGTCTATCATGTAAAATGTGGAAATTATTTATCTGATATCTCTGCAATAAATATATTCTTAACAATAACATGGCTTTGTTGAACTCTTCTCTTTTAAACTCTTTTAAATATTGGCTTCTTCTCCTATAAGCAGGAAATATCCCAATCTTTTCCAAAAGTAAACATACCACCACCACTTATCATCAAGGACTGCTGAGTTTCACTGGAGGAGTTAAAGGTTAAAGAGTGTTCAACCTACAAAGAGCAGTCAGTGTGGACTGAGCCTGTAAACCTGCCAGCTGTCCTTCTCCTGTTTAATGGTGGAAGCCTTCACCTGTGTACTTTGTTCTCTACAAAAATTATTTTGACTTTTTGCATTGAACATTACCCCATACAAAGACATGACCTCATGAAAAGGAGTACAGTAACGAATACAAAATATACGTGAAATATTTGTTTTTATGTTTAATTACATGTAAAACATTGAAACATTCTTTCAACAAGCAAAATAGGAGGAAGTTAAATTATAACAGAGTTATAAAACAAGGCTGTTTCAGCCTCTCTCTGGTATCATTGCAATAAAACCTACATTATAGAGTGACAGTCAACAAGATCAACTATTGTATTTCCATTACTTTGTAGCCAAATTACTAAATGGCAAAGAAATTGTTTTCAACCAATCATTCTATGCATGGGTTCACTACTTACTAGTTTAAAACTTGGTGATGGTTAAAATGGAAACTTCTGTTTATTGGCACAGTAGTCAAACTAGGAGGTACTGGCCTTATCAGCCTTCACAAGGTTTGATTAGTGCTGTTCATCTGTCAGGGTTCCAGAGCAACATTCTCTATGCCAACCTTCCGTCTTCGAGGCTGTTGAGAAAGCACAAGGTCATTTTTTTTTTTAAAGGACCCTGGCTGAGTTTCAGTCTTTTTTCACTTCATGACAAGAACAAAAGCAACATTCAGTTATAAATGGTTTCTCAACTGACTAAATGGCTATGCCCCTAATCTACTAATTTAAGTGCACACGCATACACAGCATCATAATCTATATTAATTACATATTTGCACTCATTATCATCATCTTGCACAGTTGCATAGCTTCTTTTCCCTTTTTGTGCACATTTATTATTTTGTCTTTCTTTCAGTTATCTTTTTTATATTCCTCTAATAATGGCAGTAAGAGTGCTGTTCAGCACTTTGGATCAACTGTGTTATGTGTAAAGTGCTATAAAGAGTTGAGTTGAGTTGTTGAATAGCTATTAGCTTTTCCTCTTCTTTTTTTTACTTCTCTTGTTTTGCACAAAAACATCAAGTCAAATTCCACATATGTGTAAGCCTACTTGGCAATATGCCTGATTCTGATTCAATCACACCAAAGTCATATACATCTTTTTTAACTGTATTCAATTCTAGATAATAAATGCATAAGATTGAGCAAGTACAATAGCAGGCTGATCCATAAAACATGTCCTAATTAATCATACATGTAAGATGGTTGTCTGTTGAGATTTCCCTGAGAATTGTAATTCCCCTAAAGCATGAATCTTTTGAACTAAAAATATTGGATTGTGTCAGAACTACCTTTTCATTGTCACAGCAGCAGCAGCAACAACAACGGATCAGGACCAGAATGACCAGCAGCAGAACCATACCTGACACACACACACAGCACAACATTGACACAGCAGACACAGGCTTTCCTTTTCAAATATATGTCTACTGTTTGGTAGAGAGGAATGGATGGGTAAAATATGAAAATTGTTACAAAGAGAAGAAAAATCATCATACTAGTGTTTTCTTACCAGTGAGTGTAAAGGTGTGGGTAAAAAGTGGGTAAGAAAGAGCAGGGCTAGACCGGTTAGAAAAAAAAAGCTCAGCATTTTGACCCACACCAGCCGACTATAACCAATCTCACACCACCCATTTTTTAAACTCCTTTAATCCTTTCAATGTGAATAAAAGCAGATCAAAATAAAATGTTTCAGTTAAACAACATTTGTGGGATGGCTTGTTGAGGCTAATGGGAACTGCACAATTTAATTGGAAACAAACATTAATAATCATTTACTGTATTTACATGTGAAATTAATGGAATCATAATTACTGCGAAAGGCAGCCTGTTGATGATACAAATAGAACATTAGAAAATGTCTTACATTCCTGAAATTCTACATGAACAACTCTATGCTGTATGTTAACTATTCATAAAGTGATTTGGCAACTGTATAAATTGATTGATCATTGATGGATTTATATCCACCTATAGATACAGAAAGGTTTAAAGTTATATCAAGAGTAATCTCTTTCCTTCTCTTTAACTCACCAATGAAGATGAAGAAGACTGCAAACGAGGCAATGTCCCAGTCAGACTGGAAGAACTCCTTGGACTGTAGTCTCGAAACCACATCCTGGAACTGATCCTCAATCATCTTGTTTTCTGCTTTTAAAAATATGCACAAAACTTACTTTGTTAAAGGACAGTGATTATCAAAGATAATGGTGTAAAAGACACATACAAGCCCCCAGGTTTGCTATAATGATAAAACATGTTAAACAGCATTTAACAAAGTTACTAGCTTATTAGTTATTAGCAGTAACAGCGATAATATGCTGATAAGTCTAATAGTAACATTAGCAAATAGGCTATAAATAAATGGGGACGACTGATTATGCTAATAGAAGTTGAAGTAAAGCAGCTCTGAGATTACTTTACAATATAATAATGATCATAGATGTAAGGCTTATATTAATAGTTGCAGCTCGCAAATAATGAAATGACTAATTGCTTAATTTATTTAATGCTAAATGTGAGTATATATATATATATATATATATATATATATATATAAAAACCTTCGCTTTTCCGTCTTAATAATAAAAAAGATTGGTATTATGTTATTTAAATTATAACATTAGTAGGCTATCTGACATAAGCAACAACTAATTTGATTAAAACATTAAAAAACGTTCTTAAACAAAGTAGACTACCATAGATCTTTCTTTATCTTACTATTTTACAAATAAAAAATTCCTCCCATTTGGTATTGACAGGTAACTAGGCGGAATCAATATACATAAATAGCCTACGTGCAACATTGCATTCATACTTCTTTCACTCAAACAATTAGAAGTAACATCATAATAAAAAATGTACACAAGCATATATGTATTGCTCGTTAGCAAGTAGGCTATAAAGTGTATATTTTGACGATTGCTTACCTGTAAACGGAGGCGCTTGCAGTCTTCCGGGTATGTTCTTCCTGACAAGAGGCACCTGTGAACACCGAGTGTTGTGTGTGTGTTGTGTGTGTGTGTGTGTGTGTGTTGTGTGTGTGTTGTGTGTGTGTGTGTGTGTCTGCTCTGTTTTGATTGTGTCCCTACATGAAGAGAGCACACGACTCCCACTATAATATAACGATCAAGGAAGTGATTTCTTCCTTTTCATCACTTGTAGGTTGTGACTGTCAGTGGTGCCATAAGCAGATCTAACAATGAAAGTCCATTGTTTTCACTTGAAAGGTGATTTGTATATTCCACCAGTGCTGCATCCGGAATAGAGATTCCGGATGCGAACTAAATCCTGACTGAAATCCTGACTTCCTTAAATGAGCACTTATCTACTTATGTCAAATGTGTGTCCATGCAACAGCATTTTAATATAAATTCCTCTCTATCTATCAAAACAGTAATGAACAAGCATTTGATAACCAAATTTTTTTTTTTTCCAACAATAAACCCCAGACAGGAACCAGGGTCATAGTAATCTCCCATATTATCATGTTACTTTGAATTTAATCAAACGGCAAATATACAAAATGTTAATCTTCAAAACAGTTGTGGATCATCATACAATTTGAGGTGTATACTTTGGGATGATCTGATTGGTTCAGTTGCTAGGGTAGGCGTTACCTGGCATACATGGAAATATTCTCTGACGGACAGCTTTGTTGACCAATAAATGCATCGTACTTAATTGTCGTCACATATTTGCCTACGTGGAGGCAGGATGTGTACCTCTCCGGACTTCCGGGTTGAGGTTCCTGCTGTAGCCCTGGTTGTTTTGAATGTGCAATGGCTGAGGATCCTTCGCTGGCTCTCCGGGTCTCGGAAATTAAGGACCCGGCGGTTCTCTTCGAGCGCTACAACACCGATGAGATCCGCCGAATCGAACGCAAAGTCCGCGGTGAGATTGAGCAGAAGAAAGAGGAGCTTAGACAGATGGTGGGAGAACGCTACCGGGAGTTGATGGACGCTGCTGACACCATTGGAGAGATGAGGCAGTGCTCGGAGAGTGTCGTCCAGTCCATTCAAGACATGCACCAGTACTGCCATAGTCTGAAAAGAGGCAAAACCAGTGTGAGCAGCAGCAGACAGGAGGTGAACAAAGTACCTATTATTTTAGCTTGTCATAGCGTCAAACCTCCGAACACCCAATTTGATTTAATGGCAATGCATCTCTTTTGAAGTTATACAAAAATCGCCAATTACAAGTATGGGAAGACTACTGATGCTGAACAGACATGATATGTCCCCCAAACAAAGCAGACATTCCTTAGTGTTCACAGAATGTAAGAGGAGCTGCCCAAGAAGAACAGGAATGCAAATAGCTTTTAAAAAGAAAATCTATTGGTTACTTTTTACTAACTTACATACAATCAATTCCCCACACATCTAGTATATCAAATAAAAAAATAAAAAAATGTCACACCTTGTCTTCTGTTTGTAAAATGCGTAAATATAAATGCTCTTGTGTTGTAGAGCCAGAGGCAGTGGCAGGATAAATTCTACACCATGGCTGCCCAGATCAAGCTCCTCCTAGAGATTCCAGAGCGCATCTGGAGCGCCATGGAGGCCTCCCAGTACCTTCAGGCCACTCAGCTCTACCTGCTATGCTGCCACCTGCACAGTCTGCTGCAACTGGAGGCTGCTACAGGGGGCCACTACAGCCCTGTCCTGGCCCGCTTCCCAATTCTGGTCCGACAGGTAGCCACCACTGGGCATTTCAGGTATAGGATGTTATCTTACTAGAAAGAAGGCTTTTGATAAACACAAATGAATGGATCCATCATTAATAAGAATTTTTGAAGTATGACAATTAGCTAAGCCAAGTAGAACCTTTGAATAAATGCTAAGTTATAGGTCAAAAAGAAGTTGTCCCCTTGCAGGTCCACCATTCTACTGGACAGCAGGTCTCTGCTGCAGGGCCGGGCAGTGTCAGACCAGGCCATTGCTGAGGCCCTGGTGTCCACCATGCTTTTGGAAGGTAGCTCTCCACGTCAAGCACTGGCTGATTTTTTGCTGGCCCGGAAGGCCTCTATTCATCAGCTGCTCAACCAACCACAGCACGGTATTGAACCATTTATATTACCTGCCAGGCCACCAGTTTTTAACCAAGTGCACATTAAAAGTTTTGGATTAAAGGTGTTAACTGTTTGGTTGAAAAGGAAATGTTCTTTACAGTATGATTATTTTATGTCTAAGTGAAGCTAAATGACCCATCGACATGTTTTTATGAAATGCTCATAAACATTTTTTTGTACAGGTGCAGGGATCAAGGCCCAGGTGTGCAGTCTGGTGGAGCTGCTCATCACCACTCTGTTCCAGGCCTATGCCGTCTTTTACATTCCCCCAGAGGGAAGCCCCCGGCCAGGGGAAGGAACCTTGAGCTGTGGAATGCTCTTCTCCATCCTTGAGATTGCTACCTCCGACACTCCTGCAGGTATAAAAAAAGATGTCCTGGAAGTCAGGATACGTTTGTTGATGTCTTTTATAGAGAGCTTTTTAAAACAGGCCTGTTTTCATTCTAAAAAACTCTTTACTTTTGCTTGGTTTCTGCATGTTTCAATAATAAGCTTTTCATATTCCATGTCAGTTCTTTTGGGAAAAAAGCTAGCTTGTGATTCATTTCTGTTTACATTTTTCCCCAAAGTTTTTGTATTTTCACAGATGGAGGAGATTATCAGCTTCTCAGTGCTGTTATCGTAAATGATCTTGTAATTATGGTCAAATTGAAAGTAATTTAGCTGTTAAAGGAGTTTATGATTAAAGGGCATGCCTACTTGTTTTTGACAAGTTGCTACCAGAAAAAAGTATTTAATATAGAGGTGTATCAATGTATATCCACAACAAACACATTTTTGATATGTCTACTTTGGAAAGGGAATACAAGTAAGAACATTAATCCCATTTGTCTCCTCAGCTAAAGGTAAGAGGGTGATGCAGGGAGAGACAAGCACAGGCAGCTGGTTCAAGTACCTGCCTCCCTCCATCACTGAGTTCCAGCCCACCCTCCGCACCCTGGCTCAGCCAATCCAGAGAGAGCAACTCCGGGACACTCTGCAGCAGTGGATTGATACGTAAGCTTCAACCAATAAGAAAACTGCTCTTGTTTTTTTTTTGTCTTTGGTGTTCATAAAAGTATGAAATAGATGCTTGCAATTCAAATTCAAGACACACAATATTGCAAATATAGTTTTTTTCACTTTGATGAACAGTTGTTTAGAAATAGAAGCCTCCCAGTGGTCCAGGCTTAAACCCTCCCTAGTGTGTTATTATGTAGAAAATCTGCAGACAGGTTGATTTCATTGTCAGTGGCTAAACAGCTTAACTAAAATCTCAAATACGTTTCAAGAGTTCTTAACATAGGTCTCAAAGTGTGATTCATGCCTTTGGATAAGCACTGATTCAATGCTTTATGCCTTGAGGGAATAAACTATGTTCAGCCTTATCTCTATCTTTTTAAGTCACATATATTATGTGAGAAACATCTTCTGTAGGTGCCAAAGTCATGTGTGCATTGCCAGGATGATTCCAAACGAAGCAGAGAATTCCATTCTATGTTTTCCAGCTTTCCTGGTCATGTAGAATGGACGGGGAAGTGGATTTACCATTTAAAAATCATTGGAAATCCATTGAAAACATGGAGAATATTCACTTAATCAGTCATCAAAGCTGTGCAGTAAGTACAAGAAGTGGGAGCATTCTGTTTGTTTAAAGGTGTGCACACTTTAAATAATGTTATATTATTAGTGTTTATTTATATTAAACTTTTGAATACAGTTTTTGTGTACCAGTAGCTGCTCATACATGTTCCTATTGTTTTGAAGTATAGTACCAATAAAGCAGTTTTTTTCTCAATTATCTTAAACACATCATTGGTTAATTTGTCTTTTGCTAACTTATCACTACCTATTGTTTCTTTTTATACTCTTAGCTGTAAGGAGGTTATCTGCCATGGAGTTGGTGGCCTTCTGGTCTATGTAAAGAGCCTGAAGGGATTAGCAGCCATAAGGGATGCCGTGTGGGACCTCTTGTCGACAGAGTCCATTAGTCAGCATTGGAGCACTGTATGCCAGCGGCTGCTGGAGCGACCACTAGCAGTCTGGGATGACTTCCTGCAGCAACTTTTCCTGGAGCGCCTGAAGGTTAGTTCTCTCTCAGCTTTACTATTATAATCACAGTTTACAGTTTCCAACATCTTAACAGGTCTTCCCTATTTTAAATGGATAAGTGCCTCTTTTTGTGTCATGTTGAATCTCAGAATTATCAGAGAACCGCCTACCAATGCTGAGAATACAATTATATTCCAATAATTATTTACCTCCAATAATTGCCCCCCCCCCCCCCCCATCCTCAAGGCTATCACCAAAGAAGAAACCGAAGCCATATCAACTAGCTCTATCCAGCTCCTCACTTCAGCTGTGAGGGATCTTGAGGGCCAGACCATCCATACTTCTTCATGTGCCAGCCCCAGCTTCAGCCGAGGGGCCCAGTTTGAGGTAGATGTGGCATCCTTCCTGTGGTCAGAGTCTCCAGGAGACCTGCTAAGTGATGCAGGGTGGGTCAGCGTTAGCCAGCGGGGACAGCAGCACCAGAGGAGTAGCCTTGCCATGAAGACCCAGGCCCTGACACCCTGTGTTCAAAACTTTTGCTCTTCCATGGATGCTAAGCTAAAGGAAAGGCTGGATGATGTGCAGCACTACCTTCCCTCGCAGGCCACAGGTAAGTGCACATCAAACTAAGCTTCTATGTGCTAGTCTGCTTAAGTAAGTGTAATGTTTAAACAGACATCATCCTTAGGATAGGGAGTGGGGCACCAGTCCCAATCTATTCAAACTCCTGGGCTGTTCAAGTTCCTTTGACCTTGAAATATTCAAGTCCAAACACTAGTTCCTAAAGTGTCAAATATACAATATTTATTTATCTGATACTTATTTAGCCTGGCTCTGAGATAACTTGAGATAATAATAATAATAATTATTGTGTTCTATTGACACAGAAGAGGCAAAGGTAAAATGTACTAATCTGCAAAAACAACAACAACCTGACCATCACAAGTTAGCCATGGAGTTTGGTACAATTTATTGTAATAAAAAATAACTTGACACCTAGATTTTAGAAAATAAACAGAAAGCAAAAAACTGCTCTTTGTATTTCTTTTGGATTCAGGCGGGGCATGTTGCAAACACAGGTATTGAGTAAAACAGGAAGAAGCGCAGTTATACATTTGAGAATGCGTCATAGCCAATTTGCACTTGTGCATTTTGTTAATCTATCACACTTCATATTGTTATAGAAATATTGAACAATGTTATCCTACGTCGCACATTTTCCTCATATAATGCTCTTCTGGTCCTGCTTTGTAAGTAGTAGTTTGGTAATGTCCCTTTGTAGGAAACATCATTCATGTCTCATTGGAATACAGCTTGTACTGAAGCCCCATGATGTTGTGTCTATTTGCAGGACTTATTGTAAAGCTTGAATGATCTGCTGCTTGAATGTGGTTAACCACACTTGCAGAGTACAGTGTATAAAATTACAGTATTTTAAAAAAGTGTAGCATGGCTATAACAAAAATAAATGCTTGTCAAATTTGGCAAATTTAACTTTTTGTGTAAGCTTAGAAGTGTATCTGTTCTCAGTAATATCATTATGCACACTTGCTAGGTTTACATTTTCAGATTTGAAAAAGGTGGTGGTGGAAGGGGGTCATCAAAATATATAAAGACATGACTATTCTCCACGTTATGTATTGTAACAACTGGCATCCTTCAGAATTTAAGATTAATATGCCAGTTTTGTCCTACACTTTTATTTATGTCAAAAAACCAGCAGAACTAATGACACTCCCATCAGCCTCACCTGTACTTTGTGTTAAGTTCTTATGTAGAGTTGATAATGGGAAACATTATATCAACATAGCTGTTAAATATCTGAATGTTAAAATTGTCGTAATGACCATGCAGTCACACTTTCATTAGTATTTATCTAAAGGAATGCTGGATGAATGTTAAACCTAACAGAGCCATTAGTGTGGCCATAGACTTGTCAGTGTTCATTAGTCAAGGTAATAAGAGACTTTTTCAAGAGGCAATATCGTTTCCAAACCCTCAATAATCGCTATCTTTCATTTTGTGCTCGGCAGGGGCTGACTCCAATTCGGTCTCGATCACCTCCTCTGTTTCTGCCACTAGCACGTCAGCCTCCTCCTTTAACCGCTACACTGACTCGCCAGCAGTGGAGGAGGCTTTCCGGGAAGGCTGCCTGGCCTGCGTCCACAGCATCCTAACCTCCATTCGCTCTGAACTTGCCACAGCCTCCCCTGAACCCGTCCCGGCCCAACTCAGTTCAATCCTTTTCATGGCCAGGCTGTGTCAGTCCATGGGTGAACTCTGCCCCAACCTCAAGCATTGTATCCTGGGAAAACAGAATGGTTCGGAGGCCACAGCAAAGGGAACACCCAGACAGAGCAAGAAGCTTGGCAAGGCCAGGACCGCCACAGAATTCAGTCCTGCCCAGGCAAAGTGGGCAGGACTAAAGGAGGAGCTTCTCAACTGCAGCATGGAGGCGTACCGTATCTGGAGCTTCACCCTGTCCAAAGTCAGACACTCCCTCTAATTTCTATGTATATGTAAAATGTTCTGTGTTGCTTGTAGTTTTAAGTATGTTTTCTGTAAGAAAGTGTAGAAATAGGGTGCATGAAGGCCCAGCGGTTACGTAGCACCCCATGTATGGAGTTTATAGTCTGGGTTCAAGTCCGACCTGCAGATCCTTTCCTGCATTCCCCCTCTCTCTCCCCGATTTCCTACTCTTTCCACTGTCCAATCCCCCCCAAAATTTAATTATGGAGGTATCTTTTGGAACAGCATGAGTACAAATTTAACCAAAGCTAAACTGTTCATACTCTAGCTTTATTGAGTTTTTCGCTGCATCTTACGGTCAACCTATAAAAGCTACTACACAGACATATAAGCCTGAACCTTTTTTGTTTTAAAATCTAGGGTAAACCTTGTACTGTCAATTTATTGTGCAAACACGCTTTTTTCTGTTTTGTCAGTAGTTGTTATTACAACAACTAGAATTGCTAGATTTGTTAATATCACTAACTCAAAGCTGCTGTTAACCTTTGTTTCGGTGTTTCACAATGTTAGAAAATTGTTGATATTTCTTCAAGGCCCTGGCGAGTTACACTTCTTGGTGTTGTGACAGGTGCTTCTGGATAAGTTTGGCACAGCGCTGCATGCTGAGTCTGCTGGTGCCATCCTTACAACAGCAACAAACTGGGAAGATCTGGAGATCCAAGAAGAAGCAGAGTCTGGGAGCAGCGTCACCTCCAAAATCCGTCTTCCTGTCCAGGTCAGATGCTCAACATGCACAGTAAAGCACAATGGTTTCTGATTGCAATCACTGATCTATTGTTAACAACCCTTTTCTGTAGCCGTCTTGGTTCGTGCAGTCACTGCTGTTCCAGCTGTGTGTGGAGGTCAATCGGGTGGGAGGCCACGCTCTACCCCAGCCCACCCTGCAGGAGCTGCTGCAGGCCTGCCATGCTCAGGCCCTGGATCACTTCCACAGTCTTACACAGCAAGCCCCCAACAGAGTAAATCTCTCCCACTAATATACACACAATTTCAACACTGTGAGAGATGCTAACTGTTGAACCACTAGCAGAACATTTTATCACATGAAAAAGGACAGAATCAGTTATCCAGGTCAGGGTTCATAATAAACTAATAATAGAAATACAATATGTTGAAATACTACAGAGTATAAAAAAGCTTTACAACTATGAATATATGTAAATATAAGTGAAATACATGTGAGAGGAGAACATTTAACCAGAAGGTTTGGAGAGCCACTGGAGCATCCACAATTTCAATATTGTCTCCCTGGTCTCCCTCCAAATAATCTTGAAGTGTCTATTCTTTTTCTTCCTGTTTCCCACAGGAGGCTGTATTCCCGATGACTCAGAACAGAGCCTTGCAGCTGTTGTTTGACCTTCGTTACCTCAGCTCCACACTGGGCTGCAGACTGGAGGAGGGAAAGAGCTCCCGATCCCAACAAGACCCAAGGTAGCATAGTTTTTTTTCTCTTTACAATTATTATTATTTTTTTTAAGCCTTTATTGTTTAGAGACTGGACAGTGGATAGAGTCAGAAACAGAGGAGAGAGAGTGGGGAATGACTTTGGGGGGGGGGGGGGGGAGACACAGGTCTTCAGCCTCTGTACATGGGGCACGTGCAATAACAACTAGACTACCAGCGCCGTTTTGGTACACAAAGTGGTTTATAAAGCAAAACTGGCAGCAGAGATCGTAAACAAACTTGGTACATTGCATGCCATTTTCAAAGTTTGTGGCGCATGTAAAGTTTATCAAGGGAAGGGCAAATCAAATTGAAAATTGCATATTGTAAGAAATAGCTGTCACAGGATATTTTCTACATTGCTAAATCTGTATTTAGCTGCTACACTTGCCTCATGTCATAGTTGTGTTTGTAGAAAGCTTCTGTTTCAGGACATGAGATTTTTCTGTCCCCCAACACACAGGAGCACTCATACACTCATGCAAAGTATAGTGTATGACAATATACAGTATATATATAAGATAAATGATGGTAAAAAATAACCCTATTGAAGAGGATTGAGAATGATAATATCCCCCAGCTTTTATCTATACGTTAACTGTTTTTAATCCCTGTTATTGTATATCCTGACAGCTTAAAAAGATCTCTGTTGTGTGTCCTCTAGATTCCATGAGATATGTGACTGGCTTGAAAGCTTCATTGACCCATTTGACCTGGACGTGTTCACACCTCCACTGAACTCTAACCTCAGTCGTCTTTCCCAGAGGACCTCGGTACTCAATATTGTAGTATTCTCTTTATGAACTGAGAAGCATTAAATCAAAACGTATTGAACCACTGTTCACATTTGATGTGCTCTTTTAGTGAGCTAATGAAGCAAATGTTACAGAATTTTGACCAAATGTTACTGTTTTTTGTTTTTTTTACGGCTGCTGTGTTTTTAGGTGCTGCTGGGACTGCTGACAGGTTCAGAGAAACAGTTTTCCTTACGGAGCAGCAGTGTGAACTCCCAGGAGCCGTACAACATCCTGCCGCTGGCCAGCAGCCAGATCAGGTGAGAGGTCAATGTAAGGCTTCTCTGTGGATCATAGCTGTGAAGCTTCTTTAGATCTAGTTATACGTAGGTCATTTCACTTTGGTACATGGACACCAAAAGAAGGTTTAAAAAAAAACATGAACCAGTGTATCCAACATTTAGACGATACCTGGGCAGGCCGCCAAGTAAATTTATGGCCGCCCAAGTGTATTTCCAACCTATTTTTATTTATTCATAAAATTGCAGCGCTTGCTAAAATCAAGTATATACAGAGTGTGTACTTTTTGGAGCTAAGAAAAATCATTGTTGTGAGCTTAATAAATTAGTCTGAAAATTGAGTAAGGTTTTTGTGAAATATTTCAAGTACCGGTAATAGGAGAATTTGTAAATCCATAAATTAACTTAATATTATTTTTCACTAAGTTCTGTAGTTACTTAATAATCCACTACCACATCATATTTAGTCAAAATGTAGTCTAAGTCTTGTTTGTCATATAAATATCAAAGTTTGAAAATGCAGAAACATTATTTCAATTATTCCCTATTTGACTGATCTGTCCTTTGTAGGTTTGGTTTGCTGCCTCTCAGCATGTCCAATGTTCGTAAACCTAAGTCAGCCTCCAGAAGCTCTGAAGCTCCTCACCAACCGGTAAGTAACACATCTGGAATCTGAGGCCTGTATTACAAAGCAAGTTTTATTAACCATTACAAAAGCTGTCACACAACATTGGTTACACTTTGGTTAACATTAAATTGGTTTATGTGAGGTCAACCTGAGGTCTCCTTGAATATGTGCACATGATTCATGGCTGTGTTTATGGCATATGAACAATTCCTTACAGAAACAAGTCTGCTGCCAACAGGAGCACATTTTTAAACTTTGAGAAAAGTATTTAAAACAAATAAAGAAGACAATAGTTTTATAGACAATAATTCAAGCATGTTAGTCAGGACAGGTCTTCTGAGGGGTTCTGGAGATTCATTAAAGTGAATTCACTTTAATTCCTCTGATTTTCTCTCCACAAGCACTGTATTCCTGTATGCAGCAAATAGTCATTGATAAATGGGCTGTCCTTCTAGTCTTGTCACCACTCAAAGTGCCTTTAAACTAAATGTCAAATTCATCCATTCAGACATGCATTGATACACTGATGGCAAAGGATGCCACATACAGTGCCCATCACTTCTTAACCAATTGCTCAAAACCCAGTGGACAATTATACTCTGACCACTAGATTTAAGATTTGTATTTGTCACATCCTCATACAGATGGACCATGAAATGTAATGACTGTTCAGCAATGCCATGCAATAAAAATACACTCCCCACATTACTCTTAAGATACATGTATACAGTGAAATGTAGAAATATAAAAATAAAAAATAGATAAATATAAATATACAAAAATGTATAAAAGATATTTAAGTGTCAAGGTGTAAACGTACTATTTGAGTGATATTGAGATGAATTGTATCACACAAATGATAAACCATAAAGCCACAGTCTTTGAACAGTCTTGCTCTCTTCCCCTTCCCAAGATCGCTATTTGTGATTATCCAATTATTTGGGCAGAGGGAAGTCTGTTGTTTTGGCTGATCTATTGTAAAAAACATAACGTGCCTCGGTGTAGGTCAGGTGCGCAGCATTAGATACCATGGCAGTGAACCCAGGTGAGAAGTGTGCCGTCTTTGCAGCACTGAATAACCCAGGCTTAACAGTGCAGTAACCTCGCCAACAGCATATCCAGCTTCGTAGTACAGGCCTCAGGTCTCCTGAAGCTCCTCTGAGTGTTAGTGTTGTGTCATATTCTGACAACCACTGTATGTTTTCATTTTGTGTTTTGTTATTGTGTCTCACATCTTGAGTTAATGTTGCCTGTTAACACCCTCTGCCCTCCCAGCGTTTTTGAGTGCAAGAAATGCAGGCAAGTTCAACAGTATGTGGTAATGTTTTTTTGTGTTTTGGTTGTGTGGTGAATTGTGCCATGGTTTACTGTGGGTGCATTTGCAGTACGGTATGACAGTCAGATGTGTATAAACTAAAAACTGCTGCTCTGTTCTCACTAACACCCCCACGTTCAGCTAGGGCTCATTATATAGCTGAGGAAAAGACTAATAGAGAATTTCCTTGGGAAACAACAGTAAACACATAGGTTGACAAATCCCATTATGCAATTTGCATAGTAAGTCTGTAGGCCTTTTCATACTGAGATCCCCACAAGCAAACACTAGCAAACACTAAACCGAACAACAAAGACAATAAAGCTCCCCCGTTCAAGATTTTCTACAGCCCATGCTTTTTGGAAGCAAATGGTTTACATAAAATGCAAAACCGTAGCTATCATTCATGGAAATCTAATGTTTTGATGGCACACATAAAACATACTTAAAATGTCAAACCTGTGTCCCATCCCTCTGGCCTAACCCCTTTACAGCAGCTGCTACCTCTGCTGCTAACATAAAGGTTTAACAACATAAAGCCCCATTTCCTCTGTCTGCCTTTTAGAATTAGATAATAAAGGCGCACAATTCTGGCCTTGAACAGGCTGTGTAAAAAGGGCATATGTTAAAGTAAGACGAAACAAAAAAAAAAATGTTTCAGGGCAGCTCAAGTTGAAATCTGTCACATTTCTAGCTATGAGAGAGATATTTTTGTTTGCTGTCTTACTTATTCTCTCCCTGTGCACTGCGCATGAGAAGTTACTCCCCTTGTTTGTGCTAAGCTACCCTTAGCTTTCTGACAATAATTAAAGTAGTCCATAGTTTAAACCGCTTTAGAACTGCTTAAGCAGTCTCCTTAAGTCCTTGTCTTAACATAGTGCTTCAAGTATTCTTTCACTTAGCATTAGCATGCTCATGTGGTTCCTTTTAATCCCTACCAGAGTTTTCAGTCATATTATTTACCTCTATGTAACATAAATATCCTACTACAGCCACATGATATTATATATTACAGAAGTTTTAGTATGGATCGGCTAACTGTTGTGCTACATATCACAGCCCTCAATTGACTACAGTTGTGTCAGAATGCTAGCGTAGCTGTTTACAATGGTGAAACATGACACTGATTTGAACACCCAAAACAATTGATCTATTATCCCACAGCTAACCAAATTTTCAGAGAAACAAACTGCCTTTTTAATATCAATTACTAGGAGCACCTTTCTGCTAGTCAGAGGCAGAGAAAACTGTATGATCAGGGAACTGTGACAGGATGTTTAAAAATAATTTTAAACATAAAAATGACATTTTTGGGTCTTGTTATACCGTTACAAAAAGGCATACTTGTCACAATGACTTTGAATCCCAACTGATGTGAAATAAGTGAGAGGTACTCACTAAAGGTTCTTGGCTTATCTGTGAACATCTCTGGAGTGGCCATAACTTGCTTTACTAACACTAGCCAGTTAACCTTAGTTAATAAGAAATGCTACATTACTGACATGGAGGAAACATGTTCAAGGGATCCTTCAAATTCTCATTCAATGGATGGTCTTAATGATTTCCTTAGTGATTTTTTTTGGCTGTGTTGTGGTTCTTTGAATCTGGGCCCTGGATTTAACGGGGTCAATAGACGGTGATGTGTGTTTGTATAACTTACGCTTTCAGATGATCAGTTGGAACAATCTACTAAAATCTCAACAAACCTGATGTTTTCCATTTCCCCCAGCAGGAGGACAGCTTCCGGCCAGGCAGCCTGTTCAGACAACTCGTAGATCAGGAAGAAGACATAGCCGCTCCTTCATTGTTCAAACTCAGCTGGCTGTCTGGCATGGCCAAGTAACCCTTTTTTGCTCAAGGCTTTTTATTTGGCTTTGCAGAATATTTGTAAAAAATGGTATTTATAGTAAAAAAAAAAGATTTCTCTCTTGAGAAATGCGTGTTGTGTGATTTGTTGATACTTTCTTCTATTGTTCATGATTTTTTCACATTTCACATTTTTTCAGAAAACACATGCACAAACGAGCAACAGCAAAGTTAGTGTTCACATATTAGCTTGCGGACTTTACGGTATATGATCCCGGACAGGTAGGAAGAGGATATTTACCAGCACTGGACAGATGAGATCCAAGTGTAACAGAAACATCTATGAGAAATACAATTTGACTCTCAGGTTCCTGTCACTTAAATGTCACCGCAGGGAAAGAGACAGATGTCCTATCCTGCATTGGTTTCATTTCCAAATATTCTTTTTTTTTTTTAGCCTTATGGAGTTCAGTGACAGTCTCTCCCTTCTGCTTGGATGATCCCCTTTCTTCTTCCAGCATTGACATGAGTTTGACATTTGGATTTTTCCTATTTCTACAAAAATTATCCTTAACTTTACATTTGCTTCCCAGATTCATGTCCTCTCAGAATTGAACTTTAAAAAAATCCAATATTTTATGAACACCACAACACTTCTTTTCATTTTTGTGAAACCATGTTTTTCTTATTTGTGTGTAACACTGGTTTCAAATTAAATACCTGCAAACTCAATGACATATGATAATATTTAACTACAATGTTAAAAATTGTTAAAATGTTACCTGATAGATTTCAAAACATTAGATTTTATGTGACAAACACACACAGGGAAAGTCTGCTTTATTATTAATCAAATTTATTATGAAAGTAACCAGATTAAATCCTGTACAAATCGTCAATAGAGAAAGAAATTGTTTTGACTGATTTGACCATTTGGTAACCTACGCAAGAACAACAATACTTAAACCTGACTTAACATCCTCCATAGACATCGTTACATACAGCCACAACCATTTTATTCTAATGCAAACTGCAGCCACACAAATCAGACAATGTAAAGAAAATGTAATTTTACTCTCTTGCCAAACTTCATTGAATGGACTTGTATGCATGTCTAAGAATTGTAAGTTCCATCGAACAAATAGTGAATAAAGACAAACCACATGCTTATCTTTGGACAAAACAGCTAATTTAATGAATACTCATTTTGTGGCGTTTAGGTATTTAACAGGAGATTTATAAGGTCATTTATTGAAAAAAAAACTTGACAAATCGAATGTCTGAAAATACTGTTTCACTGCATCAATACCTTTGAACCTAATCCTCAGAGATGACTTTAAATTAAATACATTTTGATGTACAGATTAGAGACAATGAACCCCTGCTCACAGGCAAGTAAAATCCCCAAAACTGTCGTCCTGCCTTTCTAATGGTCACCAAAAGTCACTTTGTAGTCTCCTTCAATTTGTTTTGAATGATTTTTTTGTTGTTTATTTTACACTTGTTTTTGTTGTGTTCTGTTTCTTTCTGCTAGTATTTCACTTTAAAGACATTTCTTCTTTTTAATGTGTTTGTGGTTGTTCTTCATCTTTTTGTGACTATCTTTGCTCATATTGTGTTTTTCTCTTGGCTTGATTTACTTTCCAACAACAAATGCTCTGTGCCAGAGCCCACTTGCCAACTTTGGTCCCATGGGTCTTTGCCTACAAGGTTTTATCAACTTAACCTACATCGACATTGAGGTTCTTTTACATTTGATACATTGCTAAAACAGAATCACATTTATTTGCATGTCACTGAGGAGTGAAGCAAATTCTTCTGTACAATTGAAATACCCTTATCAAGGGCCGGTTCATTTGCATGTTGCATGTCTCATACTGTATAGCTCTACTTCTTTCTGTCTATTTTGCTCATCATGGCCTTGACATCGATGGGAGCAGCGGCAGCAGCAGCTTTGGCCTTTTCTTCCTCCTCCTGCTGCCAGAGGATGATGGGATGGATGCCTGCACTTCGGTTCTGAGCATTTTGGTCCAGCTGAGATTGGCTTGGGTGGAAACAAGAAAGGTGATTAAGTCAGAATCATTTTTGAAGCCTCTTTTCCTTAGGAATTAAAGTATTCTTAGAGTTCTTCAGTCCATTTAGAAACTCCTAGAAGGGATCAGTTAAGGCACTAACCTGAAGTTATGAGGCTCGGGGTTCAGTGCTTTTTTCTGCATTTCTTTGTACACTGGTGACTTGAGGTAACGGAAGAAAGTATCCTGTACCAAATAAAGCAGAAGACACTGCAGGTTACCAGGTTCCTTTTTTGATATATAGCATCTGGTTAGACTTTTAAAACAAAGTAGAGAAGTAAGCAAATCTAAATAATAAATGCGCATTAAAAATTTCTTGCCACCTTTTTTTGTCATTCAACAAAAAATCAACATGAAGTTTACATTGGGAAAAGTTTTTAGTTGGGCTAGGTTTATTTACTAAAAAAGATGTGGTAAGGTTTAAGACTAGATCATGGTTTGGATTTGCTCAAGTTCTTAAGAATGTAAAGAATGTAACCAGCATACTTTTGTTTTGTAATAAACCTTTGAAAACAAAAAAACAAAAACTTTTAATATAAAAAAGAAAGAAAAGTAAAAAAAATAAAAATAAACGTTTTATATGTTAACTGTTGGTAACACAGAATCGTACCTAATCACCTTTCTGAAACTCCTGGGGTGGTTTTATGCATACATCGTCATCCTGTCCCAATATTTATTGTCGAAACAGATGTACAGATGTTCAAATGATTCGGTCATCACTTAAGGTATGAAGTAACTACTCTTTAAACCCTCGTAAATCTCAGGCTCTATTTGCTCCAGAGCAATAAGTTGACAGACCCACCTTCTTCATGAGCAGGAACACGTGTGTCTGGGCTGCTTCCAGCACGTAGCGGTGCGGGTGGTCCAGGCCTTTAACTGTCAGACCCATTGTCCTGCCATCGATGTTGATCCAGCGGGGGGCACCAGGGGCCAGAAAAGTCCTGATCACACAGACTCTCAAGATCAATATCATTATGTATTGCTTATATTTAGGGCAGGTATTATAAGTTTTCTTCTTCCTGCTCCTGTTTGCTCATGAACAGTGTTTCAGCATTATGAGAAAATATTTTTTGTTGTGTATTATGGTGTTGAAACCATACACTGAATTGAGCAAATAAATCAAAAATGAAATGAAATGAAATATTTGAAGATATGTTAAGTTCTAGTCTACTGAGCAGAATGGTTGCCATAGTAAACACTCCTTACATAAATAGTTTCTGACACATAGTCCCATTTATGTTTCTTACTTGAAGATGGTCTCTGCTTTTGTTGACATGGAGGATGCTGTACCCCACTTAAGTTCTTCAGCTGCCTCCCAAAAAGCCAAGTTCTCTCCTGGGACACACAAATACACACACATTTGTTTACATTTGGACACTAATATATAACCTGTCATTTCCCAGATTAGGCACCAGAAGACTGAGTCGTTATATTAGTTTGAGGTAGAGTGTGTTCTTCCTTTGCTTTCTAAAACCATTTTGTGTGTTGCAGTAAGTACTTACAAGGAAAACTTTCAAAATGGCAGCAGTATTTAGTCTTGATGTGCATGTTCATATCAGATTGTTTAGATTGTTTGTGTCATATCAAACAACATTGTTCTTTATCAGTTTACAGAAAAGCTTTACATACATCATGTTCATTGTGTTTCATAAAGGAACTGAAAAATGTCTCTGAAATCTGAAATAAGAAGAGCAAGAATATTTCAATAAAGAATCTGTATTGTTAGCTCAGTATTTTTCCTAGCTCAACCCCATGTTATTTGGTGCCCTCACATTTGGCTATTTCATTTTAGCCATAGCAACTTTTATGTCATTCCGCATTGATATACCCTGTTGTCCAACATTGTAGACATATTTTGTGCCATCTAGTGTTAGCAAAAGCACAGTGCACACATGAAATGAAAGTATAAGATGGCAGCCATCCCTGCCAAATTCAAGTGCCAAGCGAGCTCTGGTAATGCAGAATTAAGCAACACTAAAGAACCAATGGCACTCAACGACATACCACTGAACTCCTTCTTGAGGAAGACCTTGAAGTCATCTCGGCCTCTCAGGTCGCTCAGGAGCTCAAAAAAGCTAAAGGACCAGCGCTCTACTCGCATCTTAGTGGGGGCATCAACTCTGGATACAAAAAAAGAGGCAGAATTTGTCACAATGCAAATTGTCCACAATGCACTGTTATGGACAGACACATTTGAACGAAGCAAAAACAAAATGTAAAAATGTAATCTTTGGAATGGCATCTTTTTGAAGTTTTAATATCTAAGGTCATCAATCCTTTCTTTGTTTGTATGGGCCTCGATAACTGTTCCCTCACAGCTAATCAGAAAATGCTACAAATCCCTTCAACTATGCGTAGCTTCACTAGAAGTTACAATAATAGAGAAAAAGCCCTGCTAGAGAGGTTGTGAGGAACTAAGCTCAGGAGGAGATTAATAAATGGTAAGAGCTCACACTTACCCATTCACACACATAGCACATCTTGCGGAAGCAAATTGGGGTTCAATGTCTTGCCCAATAAGGACACTTTGACGTGACTACAGGAGCTGGGAACATATGGTTTAAAGACAGCCAACTTTACCACTGAGTCACAGCCCCAAAGACAGAAAACAGCCATCCAAACCATTCCCACTAATCTACTACCATCTTATTCTAAGCTACTTGTTATTATAGGAGGTGAAACTGTTCATTGTCTGCTAGATAAAGGATCTATGGTTACCGTTTATTTTGTTTGTTTTATTGCCATGCATTTTTACATAACCCTATGTTCTGTCCACAGTTTCATCTGCAGGCTGCTGACAGGATAGAAATGATTGAAGTGGGCTATGTAGAGTTGTATGAGGAAGTGTTGAGCAGGGTAGTAACACAGTGGGGTGTCAGTAGCCTAGTGGTTCGTATGCACGTTCTATGTACATTCTTCTAAAGCAGGCGCCCCAGGTTGGAATGTGACCTGTGACTCCTTTCCTCTAGTTTGCAATAAAAAGTTATTTAAAAGAGGCCAAGATCTGTTGTCATTGAAAGTATACATTTTCCTCTCGAATAAAAAGACATAGACAAAAAGCTAATTCTTCAGGCCTCACCTTCTCATATTGAGGTTCCAGTACGAGTCGTTGTCTGATAGCCAGGGGTTGCTGGGTAAACAGGGTGCCAGGAATGGGTCATGGTTTTTGTAAGTTGTGATGTACTTGACCAGTCTGCAGAAATAGAATTATAATGAGAATAGAAAAGAATTCATTTGAACCCTGCTGTCAACGTTTCCAAACATATCTAGCCAATACAATTTTAAATAATCACTAATAACTTATCCTGTTTTTTGTTATTTCAAGATCTTTTATCATACAGTCTATGGTAATACAGATATAGATTTGAATGTTACCATTTAATTACAGCATGATGAATCTGAATTTGGAATCCCGAGGAAGATACCCAAATAGATAAGACATTAGAGGAACTTACGCTCCAAGGGACACACTGGATTTGACCTTTGACCTCATGATGGCTTGTTGAAAGAATATGTTCTAAAGAAAAAAAGAAAAACAAAGGTAATTTTGCAGAAGTCTTGTCAAAATGACTGATGTCAAAAGGCCAAAATTGCCGCTCACTGCTGATGTTTTCAATGTCAGAAACATTTAAAGCTTCAACAATCAGCAATGAAAATAAGTAAGTGTGTAGATGTTGGGTCTGCCGTGATCAAATCAGAAAACAGGGTGGGTATTCTTAGATTCAATTACTTAATAAATAAATACTGTGGCTTACCATGCGTCTGTACTGGTCAAAGCTGATTTTCTGAGAGACAAGAAAAAAGAGCTGTTAAAAAAATCTGCTTGCAGAGGAGGATGAAGCACTTGAGGCACTGAGGCTACTGTAAACTTGGTGTCACACCTATTGAAAACCACTATGAAAGTCACAACTGAAGCACACATAGTCATGTGGGGCATAACAGAGTAAACAGTCCCTCCAAGATAAAATGAAGGTAGAGTCTTATTTTCATAAAATCTAATTGATACGATTGATTTTATCCATAAATCAATACATCTGCATTGGCTCCTCAGAAAAAAAGAATCAAAATTTCATAGATCCTGACAATCTCTTTAACGAGTGATTTTATTTATTTATTCAGGTTAAGCTTTTGATTGTGGCCAATTTAGTACAAAATGATTGGTTGAATAGAGTTCAAGTTTGAGTTATGATTCAGTTTGTGTCTAGTTGATTCAATATCACTTAAAACAAACACTTACTCTATTTTCCTTGAAGAGACTGACTAAAGACTACATGTAACCCATATTTATATGAGAGCAGTTTACACACAAGTATTAGAAGCTGGGTAAACTACTGTACTTTATGTCATTTTTTAACACACAGTGTTCTCATATCTTCATCAGTGTGTGGAGATCTGTTGGAGAATACAAAAAAGACAGAACAAGAAAATACAAGCAATGAAAATTCAGAACTCGAAAATACAAGTTCAAATTGATTGAAGTCATGATTGTGTTAGATCCCTTACAGCTCTTGTGCTCCCACAGTTCAGCAATTTTACAGTATAAGCAAAAAAGTAAGGTAAGGTTGTATCTCCAAATCAACAGAATTTTTTTGTCTTGATCTATGGCTTTTTGAGACATTATGTGCAGTAAGAGAGCAGAAGATATTTCATTTGAGTGAAACTGAGAAAACTACGATATTAAAATACAATATTAAAAGCTACAAGAATGATATGGAGTGACTTTAAATCCATTTTGACATGCTTGAGATCGTATGTTTGAAATTATATATTTTCATGTACTATACTGTACTTATAGCCTATTTAACCATATTGTACTGCAATGTATTATCATTTATATTACTGCTATTATTATCATACAGTATACTCAATGTACACTTCTCTCTATATACATATTCATATTATACAATACACACTGTACCATGGCAATACCATCTTACTATGAATATTGTGTCTCAACTGCTGTGCTATATTCTATTATTATTAAAATGATTACCATTGATATCATGTCACCATTTGATTTCAACAAGCATTAACAACACATCACAGAATTTAAAACTTAAATTAGAAAAGCTAACTTGCGTTATTATTAGTTTGAGGCCTGGTTACATGTGTGATGTCAAAAGGAAAGCAAAGAACTAAAAGCAAAAGCAAGACAAGCACTAGAAAGCATATGTGAGAGAGACTGAGAGTGTCAGGGAGATTCATTTCTCTTAGTAGACATGTTTACAGAGTTCAGTTCAGCAGAACTACACTAACTTGTATTGCTTCGCTTCAGTAAATTCTGTGTTTGTCTATGCATCTATGTTGGTGCGTGTGTGATCGAGTCTGTTTGTGTGTGTGTGTGTGTGTGTGTGTGTGTGTGTGTGTGTGTGTGTGTGTGTGTGTGTGTGTGTGTGTGTGTGTGTGTGTGTGTGTGTGTGTGTGTGTGTGTGTGTGTGTGTGTATACTGACCTGTTACCTCATCTGTGTTGGGATCAATAAGACGCTCTGGGCCAACATCCATGGCACTGTGAGTGCGACGCTGGACAAATATACAGGGAAATGTGTATAAGTATATCGAACAAGGTATTAGGGACTTCCTGATATGTGTGCTTATGCATGTGTGTGTATAGATTTGAGTACATATTATATATTGGAGGAGTATATTAAAGTATATTACATAAAAGTTCCTGCAGCAGTATACAGCAGAGTCACACACTCACCGGTGGCCTGTTCACTATCCAGTAAGCCCTCTCCTGGCAGTCAAACACCACACGATCTGGCTTCTTTCTCTCCTTACCAGCCCTAACACACACATAAACACGCACATGTGCAGATAAACAGAAAGAATGGTAAGAATGACAGAATTTAAAAATGCAACTAGATGAAGATAGTCTCAGAATGCTAGTTTTGTTGACAGATTGCTTACATACACTAATTAAATGTACATCAAATAAACTAATCAAATGTACAGTTAACTTCCTGTATATACTAACACGCAGCCTGTTTGCCAAATTAAAGGGAAACCACAGAGTGTCTTCTAAAGGTTTATATTCACCATTTTTTAAAAGCACCAGTGCCTTGGCATCAATTATAGTAGACTCCTAAAATAACTGGAGGGAAGAACAACATATTTCTAAAAAATATTTCCAAATGACTTATTCCAGATAAGAGCCCAACTGGTTTAAGGTCGGATTACTGTTAATGCCAATGAAAAAAAGCTTTGATACTCATCAAACTCTCATGCTTTAGATGGGGGCATTTTTTTCCCCAGAGATACCACTCTCACCAACAAAGAAATGTTTTATCATGAGATTAATGTGACCCCTTAAGAGGAAAATTACCTTTCCCCCTAATGGGACAGGTTGACCCAATGGGAAAGGGAAAATAGAGCTTTTAGATCTATAGAGGTCAGACAGTCAGGTGTTTTGTTTTAATATGTCAGCTGTATGTAGCACATTTGGCCTACACAATTTTATTTAAATTTTGGTTCCAACCTTTGACATTTTGTAATTTTTAAAACTAAAGCTCTTATAATGTTACACCTGGTTCACCTACTTGTACTGCTCTGTTGCCTGCATCACAATGAAATCCCACTTGTGGTTCAGCAATTCATGGAGGTGGTTGTAATGTGCCTGTAGAGCACAATAACAGAATACAGCATCAAGCAGCAAATTGATATTGACACAAACACAAATGGGGGGGGGGGGGATGACCCACAACAGATACTTAACAGTCAGTATAGCTTTACATCTGTTGTTTCAATTTTGTATTTTCAAAATCACCTTAAGAAACTACACAATGGCTAAACTATTTAAAAAAATGTCTTTCAATATAACAAAACATTGATTAATATTTCTCTACAAATATGAATAACTTGAAAATATTACACTGAGCTCATAGTTGACATTTCTACATGTGAATGAAGGCCCAAAAAAGCTTGCTTCATGAGGGAAGTAAGCTACAGCTGACTTTTCAATGTGGTCTTGCATGGCTTCCATGTAAGGACATGGAGTAGGCAACCGTTAAAGAGTATAGTGAGAGACAAAATTATTTCAAATATGTGCACAAACCTGTTCATAGGGTTCCAGCATGCCTTTCTTGCGGATGTTCCTTTTTGCCAGGTAAATAGCTACATTTAGAACAAAAAAAATAAAAAATAACCACAGACATTACTAAAAGGAAAAGAAATAAAGCAAATCGAAAACTTGACAAACCTTCTTAATTGCAATTTTAGCTACATTTTTTTATATAGTTACATATTTCTATTGCTATGTTCCCTCATAGCACGTTGAACTGATCAGGTGAGAGTACAATGCAGTCATGCTCCTCATGCAGAAATGTCAAGCATTTTAGGATTTGCATACAAAAGAAAGATCCTCCTCTTATCAAAATGCAAGTTGTTCTTAACCACGTCACTCAAAGTACCAAAAAAATCATTGTATTCACAGATAGTCATGTTCTCATGAACCCTCCACACCACACGACATACGATACCCACCATAGTCACTGTCCTCTGCAACCCATTTCTGTGCAGGCCAGAAGTATGGGGTCTGAAAAAGTGTAGGCAGTTTTAGTGATCCAAAGTGCAGAAAGAATACAGATCTATAAATAATAGCTGCAGCATCAGAATAGCCTCTTGATGAAACTTGATGAAAATACTTAATTCATCATTTGCTTGACTAACAGGTTTTGGCCACCATCTGCTGTGTGTAAAGTTTCAGGTCCAGGTAAGGCTTTGGTTGCTTGTTACATGTTACTATTGCTTAGAAAAAACATTGTATTGTTAGCTTTATATTTGATGACGTTTCCTGTCTTTATGAGAAAACTAATTTTGGGGATTCTGGTTTGGTTAAAAAGCAGTTAAATTGCATAGTCCCTATTTAATAAATTCAATTCAATACATTCCTCATCGCAGGTTCAACTCTCTATCTCGACACATGTCGACCACCTCCACCACCCCCAATAAATTATCATAATTTTGAGAGGAATTTTTCAGAATTCTGCTATAGATAATGTCCCATCACTTCAGTTTTGGCTTTCAGAGAGCCAAGCCATAAATGTGAGACTAAACTCTGAAGCTGTAACTGATCAGCTCCTTGTGGCTCGATGAGCAGTAGAGCCAACAGGGGATGATAAAAGGAAATCAAGGCATCTTTTTTTTTTCAACTGCAATCAAAGTCATTGCATCAGCAAATAACATATCCATCAATCATGATAATATTTTCTTCCTGATCCCACCTTGTACCTTGTAATATTTACAGTCTATGCTTGTACCCAAGTGATCAGAGAGGCACCAGGTGAGCCTGAAGAAAAGTATTTTCACACTTAACTCCAAGTTGTTCCCCGCTGTTGATTTCATGATTATAAAGTCAATAGTCTCAGGTCTTGGGTCTGGTTTGTGTTTAAGACTTTGCAGTACCAGGGCACTGAGACGTACCATAATCTGAGTGCATAGTGATAAAAGCAAAATCTCACTACAATGAAACCAAAACATCATCATCAAGCTATAGGACTAGTGATAGTGTTGTTTATGTCTCAACACATCCTTGGTTAATGAAATTCCTCTCAAAATTCAGTTTCCCTGTGATGTTACAGTAAAGTGCACCATATATTCCAATCATGGCAGGAGGAGGAAGAAAGTTTCACCTGGAAGCGGTAAAGGCTTGCATCATTGCACATGACCAGCTTCTTATGATTCTGCAGGGGGTAGATGTAGCCATAGGCCACTAACATGGTGCCAAAGACTAGAGTCTCTGAATCAAAGACAGGAAGAGAGAATGGATGAGGACATAGACAACATGGAGCTAAATCTTCTTCTGAACATACATAAAATACGATTACATGATTTAGTTAACTTTAAATTATTTAAATTGATAGTACCTTCTGCAGTGCTCTTCATCTTGTTGGCAATCCATGCAATGACGTCCTTACCTGTGTGAAGCACAGATAAGAGCTGAAAGTCTGCAAAGACTTCACACTAATTTGATCAAACTCAGGATCAGTTTTACTGTGCATCAGTTTTATTGCAGTTAAAAGTGCAATATTAAGACGATAAGCTCTAGAGACACTCGGGAGCAATTTATTATCTTAAAAGCAAGGGCTTAAATTTTTATTTATGTCTGAGTTTTCCAAAATACCGGCATTACAAATCTAAATTGTATTTTTAAAAATCATTGTTATATTACAGTAATGGTTAAAGTATTAGAAAAGATTGAGCCTGGAGTGTGTCACAGAACTTTTCTTTAAGAAAACGCATGTATGTGTGCTTGTGTGAGCCTTTGATCCAGCTCTGGTTGCTCAACTTCAGTTTTTTTTCATTCATTAGTCTGCAATTTGAATCTCTCTTGTTAGCTATAATCAAATGACACAAATGGATACATGAAACCCCACATCACTATTTTCTCAAAGCTTTAAAAAAGATGACTCAAAATCAGAAGCAGTACTAAGAGCACATAGCTTGCCCAAATACGAGGAAGTGATTGCCGTCAGTCATATTTCTGTCGAGTGCATTGTTGATGAACTGAGTTTTAAATAACTATTCAGTGTTCATCAATCGGGTTTTAATCTAGAGCCTAATTGTTGGCTGTCTCCTCCTCTCTAAAAATTGACCCCACATAAGTACTGAAAGAAATGCAGAATACATAATAAACTTTATTTAATAATAATAAAGATGTTATTCATAATAAATCAGTGTCTCTATGATGCTTAGGTGGACACAACATGTCTCTACAAGGTGGCCACCCTTTTAGAGGTTGAATGATCAGTTGAGGTCCCCTTCACTCCAAAACAGATGACCTGGAAAGGACCTAGAAACTAAGACTTAGACACTGTATAAAACCTATGTCTATCTATCTATGTTCATAACCAACCATTGAAGCTCTGTAGTAGGGCTCTAAGGGCTGGAAGCAGATCTTCAGCTAAATTTAGTTTGACTTGTTTCTCTTATAAGTTAAGGTTCAGTCACTGTTTTCAGAGTTAGATACTCTCTTTAAAAACAACATTGACCTGACTTGAGAGAAAAAGTAATCACCTGTTGTTTTTTTCTGTCTGACTGTTTCTCCATCACCTAGCAATTAAGGAAAACACTTATAAAGATGCATGTTGCAGATAAAACATGAGACCAGGTAGGCTGATACAGGAGCCTGGTGTTCACTTAACTTTTCAGAAGAAGAAGTAGTAGTTAAATCTTTGTTTTGAATACTCGTCCGATTTGTCTTTCAAAATTCAGCATCAAGAATTGAGAAGAGTAAAAGTTCAACAATGTTTCTTCAACTGGTTTTCATTAAAAGCACAGAAACCATCATGACATCTAGTTAAAAAATGGAGAGGATGATGGAGAGATTTAGTAATCTGGCATCATCAGCCAGTAGACATGACAACAGCAGTGAGTAACTACAGGTAACAATCATTCCACATGAATCACACAGCTTGGCCAGTGCTTCACCTTATCATTTGAACGGTTTCTCCTGCAGAAGGTGCTTAGACTGACAGCATCTCTGTTCACATGGGAGGTTTGGCCCCAGTATGCTGACCTTTCCCTCACTGGACTAAGACTAATCTCATCCAATTGTGGGCTGCTTTATTTATCCTGCATTAGCGGCTTAGACAGTGAGGCAGCCAGTCTGTGTGTTCACTTTGTACCACTGTTAGTCAATAAGGCACCGAAGGTATAAAGGTTAAATGTTACCTGAGTTATTTTTATTTTTACATGAATGTTATGTTACTGGATCAAATTCACTCTTCAGTTTGGTTATTGTCTGTTGGATTTATTTTTTATTCTGCAAACATGTTGAAAAAAATAGATCTGCTGTTAAAAAGGATTTTCAGTGGTTCTCAAAGTGGGGGTCGGGACCCCCTGGGGGGTTGCGACCACCAAAAGATGGGTCTCTGGATTCCTTCCAATAAAAATAATAAAAACTGAAAATCATGAAATACCCATTATTGTAAAAATAATTTCAAAAAGTATTTCAGTTTCAATGCTCTGTGTGTGTGATAGTGTGTGTGTGTGTGTGTGTGTGTGTGTGTGTGTGTGTGTGTGTATGTGTGTGTGTGTGTGTGTGTGTGTGTGTGTGTGTGTGTGTGTGTTTCAGTCTCACCAGAGATGACATGTGGGATGGTAGAGACGTTGAGTTTCTGCTCTGAGCCTTTGACACCACTTTTTTGGTCCTGCATCTCCACCACAATGGCCTCCAGCTGAAAGACGAAAGACAATTTATTCATTTGAACCTACGTATAATATGAATATTTAGACACACTAGAAACAGTTGCATCAGATTTCTATGATAGAAAGTATTCATCTCAATTTTTTCATCAGCTTCTTTGGTGAAGAAATATCTGATGGGATCAACAACTGCATGATTTAGCCACTAACCTCTAGTTTGTTGTTAAGATATGCTCTACATCAAAACATTGACATATTACACGCTGCGCCAGAGGTAGAAGTGGTTTATACTTCCTTCCTTCCTTCCTACAATTCCCTTTAGTCTCTGATGTAATCTCAGTTCTGGACAGTGCTTGTTGGAGAGACAGCGACAGGTCTTTAACAAAGTCATTTTCTCTCGATCCAGCTGACAAAGATAACCATTTTAGTGTCACAATATTCACTTTGGGGACTATGGAGCAAAAGTATTGGCCATAAAATTCAAGGAACAATATTAAAATTAACAAATTAAAATATTATAAAAAGTTATACTTGAACACTTTATTCAGATGTTTGCAGTTGTAAACATCTGATTAAAGTTAACTTTACAATTGGGTTCTTGCACATCAATATTTGAAATGTTGTGCAACATCATACCAGTGTCCCAGTAGGACCACATTTTTGACAGCAATACTAGCCTCTTATTTTTTTATACTTTATTTTCCAAATGTGAAGCACCAATATGACAAATAGCAAAGTAAAACCACTTGTAAAAAGGCATATATAAAGCATGCTATAAAATCAAAAACAAAACAATTAACAAGTAACAAGTAACAAGTAACAACAAACAAACAAACAAACAGACAAAACAAAACAAAAACACTGCTACCCATAGTTTGACTCCAGGTTCCACAACTGGAACCAATAGCATGAGATCAGGTTCAAGTAGATACAGTAGGAAGCAAGGAAGTAAGAGTTCATGTTCGGTAAACAGTCAAATTAGATTTCTTAGACATAATACATGATTCATTCAAACATAATTCATTGAGAAAGCAGATTTAGAAATACAAGACATTCTACCAATAAAAAGTAACTGATAGCCAGCTGTTAAGAATAAATGAATAAATAAAAATCGCACAAAGAGTAAGGAAATTTGTGTTTGGTAGATTATTTCTTTGTTGTAACAATGCTCCTGGGCAATAAATCTTGTACCGTTGGAAAGCCTGTTTATTTCCTTTTTAAATGGTGCCACATTTTTAAGGAACAGGCATTTGAGGGATGAGCAGCAGAGCTGAGTATTTGGGTTGCACCCATGAAAAACTTACCAAATCTTCTCTGCCAGTGCCAATCAGCTTATTCTACTGTTGCTATTGACTCTTGTTTTTTTAGCTTCTGATACCCCAGGTGTGCGCATGGGCCCTGCTATAGTGGTCAGTTGCTGTCTGCTCCAAGAGTGCCATGGTTGACTGATCTTGATAGGGCCTGTGCCATAGGGCTACTTCAAGCTGGTGTTCTGCACAGCCAAGTTGCAGCATTATTTGGAGTGAGCCCTAGTACCATCTCCAAACTGCCCATACAAGTTCCATGTAACAGGGGATGTCAGGGACAGGCCGAGAAGTTGGCGTCCCAAGAAGACTACACCTCAAGAAGACCGTTTCCTAACCTTGTCAGCACTTAGGAATGGTAAGTAGTCTTCTACAGATTTGCAGTCAAGGTTTGCAGGACGATATGGCCAACGGCTCTCTACCCACAGACTGCATGCAGCCAATCTCTGGTCTTATAGGGCTGCCAGGAGGTCTGCCATGACTGCCCTTCACCATCAGGCCCATTTGCACTTGTGTCGGCAACACGTGCACTGGAACCTGAATATGTGGAGTAGTGGTGTGAAAAATGACAAAATTGCTGAAGGTTTACATGTTGGGCCAAAAAACATTTAAATGTTAAAACGTTTTTTGTTTTTATTTAACTTCATTTATTCATAAAATGCTGCAGGCAGGCTACTGTTTGTTAAATGAATACATTTTAAAATTGCCAATATGTCTTGTTTTTTCAGACTTCAATCATCCAATCAACTACACAACACCAAGCAAGAGTCAAGAGCAGAAAAAGCTGTTTGGAATTGGCAGAGGAGATTTGGCAAGTTTTTCATGGGAGCAACCAAAATACTCAGCTCTGCTGCTCATCCAACTAATGCATGTTCCTTACAAATGTGGCACAATTTAAAAGGAAAATAAACAGGCTTTCCAACAGTACAAGATTTGTTGCCAAGAAGCATTGTTACAACAAAGAAATAATCTACCAAACACAGATTTCCTTACTTTTTGTGCAATGTTTTATACATAAAAAGTGTACTTCCTGTGTTTGGTTGTTGACTACTCTTGATATCTATGAGTAAACAATCTATTTGCTGTGCATACGATAATCAAGACTATACTTTTTTTTTGTTTTTATTAAGCTGTGGTGCATCATCTTTATGGCTATCCTCCCTTACTTTCTACATAGTATCTTTGATCCATGACAAGAGGCTTATTTCATGAAGTCCTCTGATTTTATACATTAACTGCTCCATCACAATCATTTTTTCAGTAAGTTCCTTCCATTCTTCACACTCGGGCTAACTTTCTGAAGCCAATTTTTAGTTTTCTAATACAGGACAGGACCAGAAGATATGGATACATTCAGCACGGTGTTCTCCACAGTCTCTCCAGCATTTTGGCATTAGGGTAATGTTGTAATTTAGCTTGTTGAACCGGAGTTATAAAATATATCATCTGGAATTTCCATGCATATTATCGCTAAAACTGAGAAGCCTTTATCTTATGTGATGATAAGCTTATATGTTTCTAATCCGTCTTCGAAACATTTACATGAAGTTTCCCATGCCATTGCACTTTTTCTCTCAATTCTTGTGATTTCTTATTACTTTCTTAAATGTTATACAGTACTGAGATTTGATGCTTGACCTTCTCACATTTATAGTTTTTTTTTTTGTACAGCATCAGGGGATTAAAATCTGTAATTGTTTTCTTTTTTGTATGCCAGTTTTCTCAATATAGTTTCTGACTTGTAAATATCTAAAAACATGAGAATGTGGCAAACTAAATGATTTTTTTAGGGATTCAAAGTGAATAACTCCTTCTCATCGTCATCTAAAAACTGTCCAAATATAATAAATATAATATTAGCCTCATATCAGATCATATTTCACATAAAAACATATAACCAGCTCCTAAAATATGATGCAATGCTTTCTCTTTAGTAAGAAAATAGTGTTCTTTCCTTGGTCAAATCCAGTGAAAACACTGAACTGTAGGACCTTTTTTGGACAATAATTTACATGTAGAGATACACGTGATAAGCTTACTTTCACTCTCCCAGACATTATAATGCATCCTTACAGAGAGATGCTTCTCACTCAACGTTATGCGTACGCCCACCTTAATTGATTAAATCAACCTCTTTGATTATACCTTAATTATATTTAAAATCTTTGCAATACAATTAAGATGATGCCTGGCCAGCTAAAGGCAGAGGTGATTTTGGCAGTTGCTAATTGTATATGTTCTAGGGGGCGCTTGCTTTAGCCTTTAAATGTGGCCCGCCCTGAGTATAATGATAAATAGAAGTGTACTGCCAGAATGACAACTTCACTGCTTTCTGCTCCACTTGTATTACCACTGTTTCTCTCTCTCTCTCTCTCTCTCTCTCTCTCTCTCTCTCTCTCTCTCATTTCTTTATCCACTAACTTGCAATGCAACAGCCGCAACTTACAGCAACAAGAGAGAAGGGAAGTTCAGAGTGTGATTAATATGACGTAACTTCTCGCCCTTCTAAAGATGGAAAGGCAAGAAGTTAGCCTCAGTTAGCTTTTGTAGTAACTTCTCAGTAATTCTGTAATGATGATTTGTCTTCATCACAAGTATGTGCTTTTGTTTAACTACTGAGCCTTACTCATTTGGTCCTACTTTTGTGTGATACAGACAGATAAACAGTGGTGACATGATGACAAAGAGGGAGTGTGATGGGGCCAATAAATCTTGACCTGTCTCAGGCATCGAAAAGGTTCTACCCTGCTCCGACCATTATTTATTGTGTGGTTAATATTTAAATTATTTAGAGAATGAATAAAGTTGGCAATTCAACCTTGTCACACTATACAAAATACAACATTTGAAGATAAATAGTCACACTATGCAACACACTTTTAGGTAATTGTATAAGAGTTGTTGTATAATAACTTTTGGAATGTATCTCACTTATCTGCTTCATTTCCATTGCTATTGTATAAACTATATATTCGAGTGTAAATTTTTTATACCACAAATCTGTCTGTTGCATTATTGATTCAGTGATATCAAAGTTAACATCATCATCTAAGGACAGAACCAGCTGAGGGCAGGGTTATGCTACTTAACTACTGACCCTCACCCTGCAGTAACACCTGGCAGCAGACCAGTAAAGCAGCAAAGCTAATTGGCTTTAAAGTAGAAGTAGAGATTATCTCTAACAAGCTCCTGCTCTCCTGAAAGCAAACAAGTCATGTGCAAATCTCTACATACAGGTACTCAATGAGATCTCTAGTTCTAAAAGGAAACAATAATGAATGTATTTCTAAAATCACAGAGAAAGGGATAATTTACAGCTGAGCATCTTACTGTACAAGCAAGGCAATAAAAGCAAATGTCTATAATCGAAATAAATTGAGTTGAATTTAGCTTTAAAAGTATTATGAGCAATTGATATGTCTGTAATCATTTAGACATGTCTGATCCAAATACAGCAAAACATAAACATCAATAATGATGATGATATCCACTCACCTTTTTGAAGCAGTGCATACGGGGCCGAAAATGTTGACCCCGGTCCTGACGGGCTGTTCTTATTGTCATATTTGCAGGTGAGTAAAGACCAAATCAAATGGAGAAAAAAAATATTTTTTAAAAACAAAAATCCAGTTATAATTTCAGTAGTTTCTGACAGAAGAGTTTTTGCCTGCAGTGGACTTGAACAAACAGCTCCTCTGTGGGGATTGTAAAACAGGATAGGAAGGATAGATTTATCCACCAATCAGCTGTTAGAATCCTCTGCTCTCATCTCTACGTACTTTTTGTAGCCTTTCTCTGTGACTCTTACATTGGCTTCTGTGGTCAAGCAAGATCAAGCGACAAATCTTGAACAATTTGTTTAGGGTTGCAGAGGAAGTGTTTCACAATCATACATTACTTCATGAATTCATTTATATGTTTAAATTAAATAAATTAAATAATTGTTGTTATGTACGGACGCAGTAGCGTAACATTTTTATTTTCTCAACATCTTTATTTGTTAATCTCATAATCTAAGGTTAGCAATGGTGGTTTTTGTGTGATGATGACTTTATTTCAGCCATTTTCTCAAGATCTTGATAAATTAGCTTGTTACCACAAGAAAACCAATGTTGCAACAATATAAAAAAATGGAGAGCTCGAGAAAACATCGAAAATGTACAATATCACAGGGAAAAAAGAGTCAAATAAAATATGTACATTCGCTTAGGGTTTCCATAGTTTTGAATAAAAAAGATCTAACGCATAAGTTGTATGTTGTTGTACAAATTTGTGAAATTGTTGCATATTACACTTGGATTTTTGATGGATTGATTCCTGTTCTACACCCCTTATGAAATAACCCAGATGTTTTTTTGTTTTTTTTAAACTTTGGTACTTTTGAAACCATGGATCATTAAAATAAAAGGGATTGTATCCTTTATAAAAGGTATCAGAAATTTTGAGGGCCATTTGAAAGCTTTAAGAGGTCATTTACTGCACCTCCTCTTCCCCGATTATGCCGAGGAAGGTCTGGAACTCGGCGGTCGTCTACGGCACAGTGCTTCATGCTAACATTTTCTCAAATAAATTCTACAATAGCCTTGAAAGTATTCTTCGCGAAATCAACTGGATATTTAAACATTTATGTGTTTGTCCTTTATAACTGCTGTCGCACGGGAAGTGACGATTCTTTCGACTATTCAATTCAATTCAAAAAACTTTATTTGTCCCTGGGGGGCAATTCAAAGGCACACAGAGCAGTAAATTAACAACAGTGAACAGATGTGAACAGAACTATGTGCAGTAAACGAGAAATAAATATATATATACAGAACTATGTGCAGTAGTGACCAGATGTAAACAGAACTATGTGCAGTAAACGAGAAATAAACGTATATATACAGAGTTATGTGCAAGTAGGCAAATACTAAATACTAAATGATAAGTTAATAAGGTGCATGGTGAATAATGGAACGAATCAACGGACTGCAGTGTTTCTAGCCCAATTTTTTTAGGGTCGGATCAGTATGATTGGCATCCCAACAGAAGGGTAGCAAAAAGTAGGACATATGGACCAGTAATTTTAGGACAACTTTTGACAGTGGAAATGCCACAAAATGCGTGCCGTACCGTGATGAACCGAACTGAACCGCTTGGTGGAAATGGGGCAAGAGTGAGAGGTGTGGTTAGCAGGGTTGGTTGAGCATGTGGTGGAAGGGCCCAATGGGATATCTTTTCATTGAGCCCAGAAATCCTGAACGCCTCTGTGTAAAACTACAGCAAGCAAAATAGCGTAACGTTAAGACTGTAAACAAATGAAAAGAACAAGAAAACTCAAGCCTTCACACATAACCAGAGAAAGAAAGCCAATTCATTCATTTCAATTCTTCCTTTTTTTAAGTTCCTCTTTATGGGCCTGAAGTTCCTCTGTGTCAAGTGCTTGATCACGTTTTTGAGTTATTTTTCTTAAACCCCTAGAACAAGCCAAGAGTCAGATGATAGTTTGTAGGTTACATTTATAGCTACTATAGCCTGTATATATTTTTCAGTAATCAGTTCGTTTGGCATCAGTCCTAAAATGTAATCTATGTATTTATTTACCAACACACAGAAGTGTTTATATCTGTCCAACTGAGTCACTCACAACTAAGAGAGATGTAGCTACAGGAATCTGTGACCCGCCCAAAAATCGAAGCGTGGGCGCGCTCATGTACTTTATCATGCGCGTGCCCCGCCCTGAACTATAGCTCTCACTTGTGCTGCGTTCATGGGGATCGGAAATGCTTTCATTTTATTAAGAAAACATAAGCCTACACTAGGTCCCACAGCCCTGGGTGTCATCAACAAAAGATGCTGTTTGTACATCATTCAATTCAAGTTTTTTTCTGACATCGTTGATATAAGACTCCACATTAAAAAAAAACACACACACATTTTTAAATCAAGAAAGAGACAGACTGACATCTCAATCTGTTTGGTTAGCCTATATGTGGGTGAAGACACTTTGCTATTTAACGTGCTATTTGTGTGTCTTAATACAAGTTTCCCGCACACTATTTGCACATAATTAGCATTGTTTTTGAAACAATACATAGGTCTACGCTAAAAAATTGTTCAGCCTCAGTTCAGAATTAAAACTTTTACAGTAAGTGATCATTCTAAACTTATCAGGCACTTCTTAACGTACATACTAATGTGATGCAGAACACCAGCTATGCAATAAATTATGTCCTTACAAATATGGTAAAATACAAAGTCCTTTAAAATGTCAGTATCTAAATACTCACTGAAGAAGCATTGAACATTGATAAGATAAGAATATAGACAAAAACAAAAATACAGCATACTATAAGGGGTTAAATTGAATAACATATATATGTATGAAATTGTAGCTTGCTGTGGTGTGTAACTGGGTGCAATTACCTATAAGGTATTCATAATAGTTTTATCGTCTCATTTAGACCCACAATAGTAGCACAATGTTAGAAGCACCTTGTATTTTTAAAGCACAACATCACCACTATCACCCATCTGGAGCGCAATAATAAAAAATAAAGTAGTATTTTCTAACTTAGTACGAGTTAAAACAAATATTCGACCCCATTAAATTGTTAGTAGCCTACTGTACCCTCTTAGTAAAATGATCGTTAATTTCTACGACACTTGAACGCAACAGTGGACTGGGGTGAGCTCAGACCTCCTCGCTGTCTGTATCGATGAAGTTGTTTCAAAGATGGCGGATTTCCTGCCGTCCCGCTCCGTCTTATCTGTATGTTTCCCCAACTGTCTCCTCACAAGTGGCGAGGCAGAACAGTTGCGGATATCTAAAGAAATAGATAAGTGTATTAATCGAAGCAAGACTTATGTAAAAAGGCTAGTAAAGATCTTATTGCTTGGAGCAGGCGAGAGCGGAAAGTCCACTTTCCTCAAGCAGATGCGCATTATCCATGGGCAGGACTTCGATCAGAAGGCAAAAGAAGAATTCAAAGCCACGATTTTTAGTAATGTTATAAAAGGTAAGACTGAGTATCATTTGTACCCAATTCGTTGACGCTGGCTTGTGTATTGGTCAGTTACATTAGGGTGGAAAGAGTGTTGAGTGGGAAGTTGGTAGCCATGTTAGCTTCAGCTGAACCGATTGGGCACTTTTTCTGTGTTCGACAATGCTAGTGTGGTAAGCTGGTTAGTGACCAAGAAACGCCCGTGTTGTTTGTGTTTGTCTAAACAGTGGGTCTGAAGGGGGCGGTGTAGCGTGCACTGGGGGTATTTGTATGTCAAGTTCCATATAACGTGAAATGAACAATGGTGTGATATTGTCCCGCTTTCCCCGTGGCTGCTTGCACGTAAACACACCACTCTGTCTCGTATGAAGAGAATATGACCCCCAAGTCTGTTTAAAAATGTGCCTGTTGACAGTAAACTTGCCCATGATCAAACAGCAGCACCTGTAATCACAAACTGAACCACATGATTTAACCTTTCATGAGAACATTAAGGTATTGTGCGATTTTTTAGCACCCCCTGTCAGTCTGGTAATACATTGATTGGAAAAGCCAATAATTTTCTTTTAATTTTATGATGATGGTACGCAATGTATCCGTGCTTGTAGATGTACAGAGTTGAAATATGAAATGCCATAGCCTGTCTTGTCTCCAGTTAAAATCATCTGCAAGTTCATGACAGGTGGGGAAATCGGTGATCACAATATAACAGTAATTTTTTATGCTGTCATGTAAGAGATATAGATTGACTACACTAAAGCTTAGCCACAACTTTTCAAACAACACCAGAGTACTGTAATACTTAAGTGTGTTGTCTTATACAGTAAGCAAAAAAAGAAAAACGTCACTGAAGCACTTATGAAGGTGTGCATTTATTTTGAGATGTAGGCTACTATCAAAAACTCACATGTTGCATTGTGGAACAGTTGATTAACAGTATTTACTCAGATCACTCATTAGGGTAGGAACATACAGACACTTAAAATCTTGCATTACAGTGAGTCAGAATAGCCAGAGCACATCTCAGTAAACCTCCTTTGTTAATCAGATAGATTCTACAAGATTTTTCAGATCACGTGTGCTGGTGAACATGTTAAGTCATTGTGCTGAGGAAATGTAGTGATCTTGTATCTGATTTTGCAGCCTGTTCAAGAATTTTTTTAACTGATCTTCACGGAAATGACTATGTTAGGCATGGGTAGTACTGTATCTATTTTTAGATTCTCTTGATGACTTTTTAATGGGCTTTAAGGTATATGTGTTATGTGTGTCAACAAATGAACAAAACAAAACCTAAAACCTGAGCTGCTGGTATTAAAATTATTTGTATGGCAATGTCAAGCTTACAGTGCTGTTGCTAAGTGCCTAACATGTAGTAAGCTTACTAAGGGTGCACTCACTCCAGGCAAAGTTGTCCCGTACTCCCCGGCTGGCGTGCACTCACATTGCTCCAGGACTAACCGGACCTGAGCATGGTTACCTCTTGTACATAATGTCATAATACAACACATGCATGGCTTTACGTGGTCATGAAGAGTCTTAGTTTAGTATATAGGCGGACTTTAAAATAAATGAATAAATAAAAACAATAAAAGGGATGACCGGTCAAGGGTCCTCACATCGGAGAACAATGGAGAGAACATGACAGCTACTTTTACTGTCTTTGTGGCTTATTTGGAATCATTTTAGTCAGATACAGCCAGAAAACTTCGTTATTGAAATTTTTCAAATACTCTAGCCTGTTTGTCCCTGTTATACTGTTCTGTGTCAAATGTATGGAGGTGAAATGTAGGTAGTTACAGAGTCAATAAATCAATCTTCATCTATATAGCGCTAATTCATGACAAATGTTATCTGAAGACTCTTTACAAAAAGAGCAGGTCTGGACAGTACTCTGTAATATTTTACATTATATTATTATTTACTTAGACCCAACATTAATCCACCATTAGCACAGCACTTAGCAACATTTAGCAAAATTACAGTGGCAGAAACCCAGAGATCTTGAGCCGAACCAGGCTCATGTTGAACAGCGATCTGCTGCGTTGTTGTGGTTGGAAAGTGTGATAAAGAGAGACATGGATGGATAGAGAAAAACAGAGCAACAACAACAGGGAATGAGATGGATTTATAGCTATAATGTCAGTAATAATGGTAAAAGTATGTGTATTTTTTAGCAGTAACAGCAAACTATGATAATAAATTGACCAGTCCAATATTAACTTTAGCAACTTCAATGATAATAACAGGGAAGACTGATTATGTTAATTATAGAGGTGTGTGTGTGTGTGTGTGTGTGTGTGTGTGTGTGTGTGTGTGTGTGTGTGTGTGTGTGTGTGTGTGTGTGTGTGTGTGTGTGTGTGTGTGTGTGTGTGTGTGTGTGTGTGTGTGTGTGTGTGTGTGTGTGTGTGTGTGTGTGTGTGTGTGTAGTTACTCTTAAGATGTCAGGGAAATTGTATCTTGATTGACAAATATCCTCTAAATTTTGTGCATTTTGACATTTAGGGTTTTTTATGGGAAGTGAGTCTCTTATTTCATATACTTTCCCATGGGTGACATTTTAAAATGAAACAAACTCTGTGTATTTTGTATTTGTTGGGATAAAAATGTTCTGAAACGTTCAAGAAAGAAAACAGTTTCAAAATGAGATTTTCTACCCAAAGCAGCCATGACCAATAGAAGCCGTTTTCACATATGGACTCCGGATAATATCTAGATTAAAGGAGGACTTCTCCAGAGATTCTCCCGACCTAGTCGTTCACATATGATCCTCACAGCGGGGGTCTTTCCCTGTCAGAGGGGAGGGGGATCGGGGGATTTCCTGAGGTAAACGTGGCGTAAAATAAACAACGCAGAAGTAGCAGCCGAAACAACAGAGTCCGCTACCCGACGTTATAATGAGAATATTTGCCTTTATATCAATGCTATGTGTAGTCTAATGGAATGACAACATCCACTAAAGAGTGGAGAACAACATACTGACGAACAGGAAACATAATGCAGACGTTTAATTACGCGCACAGAGATCGTAGTGGTCGTGTGCAGACACTTTAGCCGGTCACTATATAAATGTCATTCTCTTTCCATTGGCTCGAATTGAAAATCTCTGGAGTATATGCTGCCGCGTTCAGACATCAGCTCACTCTGACTTTCTGCGGATAAAATACTAGGGGTCTGACAGGATAAACTCCAGGTAAAGTCCGCGCGAAAAATGCGGCTGTTTGCATTCACACATAGCCTAAAGAACCTCAGGGTAGCCAAATCTCCGGAGTTTTTCAGGAGATTTCCGTATGTGTGAAAAGTTGGGGTCGAGCAACCTAGACAGTAAGTGAAGAGAGCGAGCAGTGTAAATTAAAAACAAAGAGTAGTAAATCAGAAAAATAAATGCCCTTTCTGATAATTTCACAGTGGTTTTGCTCATTTTGAAAGAGGTATATATTTGTTGTTATGATCAGGGTATTAAAGTTAGAAAGTCTGGCAATCCTTATATTGACAGTCCACTAATGTATGATAATCCACAACAGAAACTGTGAAGCACGTACTTTTAAGTTGCAGCCATCAGCAGAAAGTTTACAGATAGGTTCAAGTGCAGCAGTTGTGAAAATGCACGTGTTTGGTGTTTTCTGTACTGGGTGATCAAAAGAGTTCAATGTATGTCAAATCTCATGCTTCAGATCAGATCGCTGACTTTTGTCACAGATCTTTTCTCGAATCAGCCAAAAATAAAAAAAGAGATTTATAATAGAACTTTTCTCAGCTAGCTATGACAGCACTAAAAAACAAAATGCATCTCTGAATGAATCTTAATAATGTATCCTCAATTTTCTTCCCAGTACATATTGTTACAATTCTTATAATAACACTATTGATCTAAAGAAAATCATTTTATTAAGAAAGTACTTTTGAAAATCTCAGTACATCAGACTGTTAGGGTGTATTCACACCTACCTTGTGTAGTTCGCTTAAACTCTGGTGCGGATATTTTGGGCAGGTGTGAATACAAACCATCGAACTCGGTTGCGCACCAAACAGCTGAACCGAGACCCAGCCGAAGAGGTGGTCTCAGGTCGCTTCCAAACAAACCCTAGTACAGTTCGTTTGAGATGAGAAAGCGACCTGACCTCAGTCCAATCCAGTTCTAAAAATCATACGCTTTTTTGGACGTTGCCACATGCATTATGGGAAATAATTGTTTATTTAGCAGCACAGTGTTGTTGTTTGAGCATTAGAGCTCTCCTTCACAGCCTTCTTGCAGCACGTCTTCGTCGTTGCAAAATGATAAGCATCGCATCAAAACAGACGTTGTATCAAACGCTCTTGCTGCTGAAAATGTTCTGCAAACATTTGTAAACTGTATGAACCAAATCAATGCCAGGACAACAAGTGCAGCATGCACGATCTCCATGATTGTTTACTTTCAGTACATTCAATAACAGTAGGCGCACTTATTAATCCGCAACAGGAACATCAACTCTACAAACAAACAATGTATATCTTTCTTTGAATAACCAGTTAGCTTTGATCTACAAGAACATTTTTTCTTCAGCTTTGACAATGTGGAACATGTAACATCAACACACTCCATTTAGGGGATGTGTGTGTGTCTGTGCACTGGCTGCTTTTGTAGCACGTGTTGTGCGAATTATACAAAACAGCAAATGAGACATGTCCCTTTTTTAAACTATATCTTAAGATTTTGCTCAGAGCACAGCGTTCTGTAACAGAGTATTTTGCTGAGTTTACAGCTACAGACTACAACAGGCTGCAACGTTCCTAATGTTAAGTTCCAGATGGATTGTTATTCACAGACACTAGCTGATACCTGCAGAATAAATTCAGATGATGAGATGAGATGGAGGGAAGTCGAACAAATAGTCTTTGTATTTGTATAGTGGATCTCCAAATGTTGACTTCTTTTCACAGAGACTGTGCACAGGGACATAGCGGCAGCACATTTATTGAACACCACGATGAGACATTTCATTTGGATCTATGGTTCATGTGAGGTAGGGGAT